TAGCTCGTTTGCCCTCTTCTCTTACAAAAAAAATTCAAGGGCTAAACAGAAGAATAATCATCATCAAACATTGAATGATCTATATTGGCACTGAACATCGCTTTAAGGATTTTAGAATTATCAAGGAAGCAAATTAGATACGGCAATATACCCCAAACGGAGATTCTTCATATTTTTTATAGCATTCTGTGGCATTCGGTTCTACAGATGAATAAATGCAGTACAACGTACAACCGATGGACCTCTAGAATGAAGATATCTGTGGTAAGTTGTTAAAGTGCTAATACAGGACAGTGTTAGTGTTCAGTTAATGCAATTAGTTCGAAACGCACCAAATGGACTGCAACTACAACACAATAAGGCAGAGAAACGTCCGACTCTTAATAATTATGCTTTTGAATTTAAAAAGTACTCAAAGAATGCGTTAGTAATAATTGTTTTAAATAAGGTATATGGATGTTTACTTGACTTAATATAACTTACAATTGGTTTATTTAAAAATGATGACGTGAACCATTTATTCATATAATGTGCAATAATCTAGAAATTTCGAAATCTCAGTAGGCCCTGTGTTAGCACAATCGCGACTAAAGCTCTGTTACAAAATTACTATTGTTATGTAATGTTTTTACTTATTTAAATATTAATTTACAAGTGTGATAATCTCATCTACATTGAATTTCAAGTGTGAACTGCATATATTTTGATAGATGTTGTATAATACATATGAAAATCTTGTTGACCTCCAGTTAATTTTTTTTTACTAATAAGTCTATCTTCAAGTTTTTAAATAATTCATTAATTAGCTGTAGTACTAGTTATATCGCTAAATTATTAACATTTAATGACATCTTTGTGTGACATTCCTTACAGGTTCTACTATGTACCTACTTCTGATTAGCACAAACGTACCACGTAATTTTATACGAATACTTATTGGGTTACGTTTGGGTTTCCACTTGACTACCATAAATCAAGTATTTAATTAATATAGCTTCCAGATTTTCTGTTATTCCTAATGCCATTCCTTCCATAAACGTAGACCTATCGGCGAAGAAATGAAACGCCCAGTGATTTGTAGAACTTTTATATTTAGTTAACAAAAAAATCAGAAAAAATCGATGTCCCGCCTTTACCCCCTTTACCATAAAAAAACCTGTGCCCTTAATTCTTAGCAGACGACAAATAATGGCGTCTAGTTACTTGTCGCGCCGACTGATTTTCAACTGTAGTTTTCCGTCACCAGTGTTCTAAAAGACATCGATATCAGACCTGCTCCATGCACCATGTTCCATGCAAACACGAAGAAATGGCAGCCATCATTCTTTTACCACCTTTTTTTCGTCAGATTATCTGGTCCAACAAGCTTCTCCAGATGATATATGAGCTATAATTTCTATTTGGCTTTCCTTGTACTGCTGTAAGCAGATATCTTCGTCATTTTGCTTCAGTAACAATACCATATTGTGCTCTTGTCAAAGGCTGTTTTCTTTTTCATTCTTATTTACGTAAGAATCGAGTTAATTTTACTTTAATCCACTTTGTAGCAAAACCATATACCAGAAATTTTCAATCCCCGTCGCCAATGTTTCTTTCAGGATCAATAATTTCTTATCAAGAAGTGTCATTCTCTACTTATTTCTCAATTACAAAACTATAATGAATATTGCTTGAAGAAACTTTTCGCCCTACTGTGACACGTTTTTAATACTTGCGAAATAAGAAGACTCAAGAAAGAAGATATGACTTGATCTCCCATGCTGGAAGGGAATTAGGTGGGTACTGTCGCAGAACATCTGCTTATCAGTTCTGAGGAGTTAAGTAATTACTTACTTAAGTTAATTGTAAAAATAAAAAACGGTTTAAACTTTTACGAAACATGTTCAATGGTCAAACCGTGAATATTGTGATTTGAAAAACTTTTTCGATGGACGTAGTACAAACCGCTTACAAATCTACGTATTTCCGCGTCCGGCAAAGTTAATTGTTAGGATTTCATTTTCAATTATTTCATCGCAGACAGCGCGATTATGATGTAAATTTCATTGTTAACACCGGAAAAAAATATAAACCAATTTTATGTAAGCTCTACTTTGCAACTATTGCGAAAAGTGCTTGTACGTAAATTGATTCTCGAAAGTAAAAAAATAAACCTAGGATACAACCCTGGTTTACATAATGTGTCATCGGTAGGGTCGTTCTAGTGTGAAAACTAGCGCCAGACAAATTTTTATCATCTTGGCAGTAAACATAAAAAAACAATCATAAAAAAAAGGGACCCACCTGCAAGCACTACCTTTCGGATAAAAAAAGAATTATCAAAATCGCTCCATTAGCGGCGGAGTTTTGCCGTAACACACAAAAAAAACATACGAATTGAGTACCTTCTTCTTTTGGGAAGTCGGTCAAAAATTAATAAGTTTTTCAATATAAATCGGGGAGGTTTGAGGAGGAGTACTTTATTAAATACAATGTAATGTACTTCATATCTTTGATTTTACAGGAATGTCAAACACCTATGGAATAGTTGAAAGGATTTAATTTGTTACTTTATATCTCTGTTACAACAATGTATCAATTCACATATGTTACTCGATTTGCTGGAAATTTGCTTAAAAAGCGTCCGTTAATCACGTGATGCTGCACAGAAGTACGGAACAATAACGAAATATCACGAGGGTCGGGGGAATTTAATGAGATGTCCTTTGAATTTTTCTGTTTGATGAAACTACGACTACCATATCAGCAGAGGGGTGGGGAAGGGTTAAAAAGTAGCACGTGACTAATGGACGACGCCTTACCGTGAATTTCAATTGTTGTGATAACCTATATCAGAACATAATTGCCATCTCTTCTTTTAAATAGAATGATGTGGTGAGTTGCCTTACGTACTCGAACCAGCATTTAACGTGTCACCTTTGCAGCAAACAGCACGTCACCTTTTCTTACTGCTTCCTCGCAATTTCAAATGAACGATCTTCTATATTTGTAAGTTGCAATCTACAGATTTTAGACTTTTTTATTTAATTACAGGAATTGTTTTTTCACGAACTATAAAACACAGTTATGTACTAAATTAATTTAACCTTGATAATAATACTCGAATATGATCTACAAAAGGATTTATAAGTTACTAGTATTTTATTCTTTTATAGTAGTTTATTTAAACGAGTAGTATAATTTCAAATTCTCGATCAAAAGCTTTTGCTGAGGTTGAACTTTTGTCAGTCAAACAAACATCATTTAATTTAGTGACTCGTCTAATTGAGAGCTTAAATAGTTATCGGTGTCGATAAAATATGTTGGAAGTATTATTAAAATTGGGAATTTGTAAATGTAGAAGTGCAGTAACATCTTTTTATGTGAAATTTTCTTCAGAAAATCTCATTTGGGTATATACAGTGACCGTTGTTTTAACTCTATAGTCGTTTGAATACGCCTTATAAAGTTTGCTAAAGAAAACACCGGTGATTTCATGCTGCATTAGTTGGCGTTACGTTGCAAAAACGGACTTGTTTATGTAATGGTCATTGTACGTTCTGTCTGCTGTAAATGTATTCGAGATTTTTAAATTAACTGTCAACATAAATACATCTTTAGTGCTGAACATGTAGCTGTATTATGCCGAGACGTAGCAATTACAAATTAATTAGAAAAATCTTGTTGAAAGAGTGAACATGCTTACGAAAAATTATTTCATTTAATATTTTTAACTCTTTAGTACAAACATCTACATTGACTTCATATAAAGCTTAAATATTGCCTATAATTGTTCTAATCGGCGTCAACTTTTACTTTTGGGTAACTTATAAATATCACCAGGTTTGAAGAAAACAACGTTGAATAACTTGAATTTACTGACATTCTAATCTTTATTTGTTCAAAATGCTGTAATTAATTTAACGGTTTCATGTTGTTGATTCCAATATAACAACTTTGTATTGTAACTTAATTACTATTGATTTGCAATATACGAATTTAAATACCAGCTGATACCAACTATATTACAGTAACTCTCTAGGGGAATGGTAGCCAACGTGTTAATTCTATATTGTTTTTAATTCATAAAAACTGACACAAACATTATGTTTACAGGTATCGGTGTTTAGCTAAGTGAGATCTTGTCCCATCTTCTGCAACAGGTAATTACCATATCTTTTCTCTGTTATAAAATATTCAAAGGCAATTTGTACCTGACGTCTCTAAAAACATTATCAAAGTGATTATTGAATTTAACATCTGCAGTGAAAACTTGTTTAAAAGTTGAAATAATATGCCCATTCCTTTATAAATGAACAAAATATTTTCTTGCATTATTAAGATCTATGAATTATCTTTGTTCTAGGTAGATATCGCTTTTAGCGACCTTCGTATGGCGTACCCGAAGCAATTATTTAAACAAGGTATATTATGACACTAATTGCACTTTTAATATTTTTATCAATATTACAATCGAATAATGATGAATACTATACAATTTGTCTTCTTTTCCCGACGGATGCATAATGACGCATAACTTTTATTTTCTGAAAATATACATCAATGTGAATTTCAAAGTATCATTTATTTGCTTAGCATTATACCTTAGTTACCTACTACTTCTTAAATTGTTATTTTCTACACAAAAAAACTTAAACAATTTAATTAGCAAATATTCTCGTGTAACAAAAGAGACTTATACGTAAGTTAAACTTTGAAGTTCATGTTGCGGTTTAATTATTTAGAAATAATTATGTTAGATGAAAAAAAAAATCCATGGTAAAGATGCAATTTCTTTCGCAGAGTCTATCGCAGTGGTCGGCGCAGGCGGGGAACGTTCATACACTTGGTTGTAAATTGTTGCTAATCTTTAACATTGTACATTAAGCCTGCTACACACCTTCAGTAACTGCTTTGTAACCGTACAGTTAAAGCTGAAGGTGTGTAGCTGACTTTACATAATAGAATTTAATAGATAAACATCTTGAAAATTGAAGTAAGTCCTGTCACTATGTGGTCTCTTAAGTTCAATTAGTGAAAAAAAAGATAATGTATTTTGGAACATTTATTTCGGCAACAGGATATATACGTTATTATATAGATGTTAAAAACATTTTATCTAATAAAAGGAGTCCCTTTAAAATACACTTTATATGTGTAAATGTATATTTTCGCTCTATAAATTATATGAATTAAAGTCCATGAGTCGAATTTTAAAGCTTAGAGAAATACTATTTTTATACAAAGTTAAGTAAAAATACTTTTACTATAATAGTCTACAAATGTTAGCAATAATTAACTTTTTTTTCTATTAGTAATTAAGTAATTTCCCCGTACAAAGAAATAATCCAAGTGAAATGGTTTGTTTTCAGTTGCAATTTAGCCATAGACAATATGTACTTGGTGCCAGCCTCGGTTGTGTTGTTATTGGTGAGTTGATATGTGCTGTTTATTCTATAGTTCTATAACTTAATACAATAAAACTAGCTTTCAAGTTAATAAACAATTTTTACTAATTCTTAATAACTACCAACAAGATTTTTATTACCAACATACGGTTCAGTTGCATAATTTTTGAAAATTTTAATATGATGATTCACTTAGTTTTGTCTTCTTTTCCCGACTGATGCATAATGACGCATAATATTCTATGTTCTGATATTTTATTTACTCAAGTAGTTTATTTCACTTTAGGAACATTTACTAATCTTTTCATTCTCTTTGTTTCAGATTGTTCGAGATTTATAAAATAAGCTGTGATTTGTTAAAATTCCTTGTTGGTTGTTGTTTTAATGTAGATAGATTTTATGTAATAAGTATATCTGATCTCTTGTAAATGTATATTTTAAATTTTATAATAAACTCAATATCACTTTAACTCAACTGTCTTTTATTTTTAAGAGAAATTAATAGCTCCTTGAAAGATAAACAAAAGCCCTATAAGGAGGTTTTGGGGTTCTAAAATGTTAGGGGAAAGTAAAGCATGTAGTAAAATGATAAAATAATAGAAAATCTACATTATCCGTTGAAAATAAAAGTAAACAAAAATCAAAACTACGATCCAAATGAATCAAAAGCCTTAAAATTGGATCAATTCTGATGTGTCAAGACTACAGTGGCGCCATGGTGGTCAATAGTTTAAACAATGTAAAACAGACAGCACAAAAAAACCATTATTGAATTAATATTTTCTGAGTCGGTGAAGAATAACTTCAATAAACATCTTATATTGCGTACGGTGGGGCGCTATTTGTGCGAAGATAAAAATCTCCTCTACTATCTGACGATGAGTGATATCCCATCGTTGTTTTATTCTCTTTACAAAGACCGCGTTTAAATTTTTTCCAGCTATCACAACGGTAAGCCATGAATCCATTACCAGAAGGATATTCTATTGACTCCTCAAAGTATATTGCGGCGCGTCCATGACTGCAACTGTCTGTAATAAAAATAGGCCAACAAATCATTTATTTATTCTTAAAGACGTCTGTATTTAATCAGCAAAGAAACTGCTTCATCTTTTGTCGTGAACTAGATCTGAAACTCTATTTCATGTATTTATGCAGCTTTAACGCTATCATATTATATCAAATTACAGTAATAAATGAAAAAATAACCTAATAGCTCCCGTTTCGCCGGACACCCGGGTTGGTCGGTGGTACCCTCGTTGGGATAAAAGTCCGCATGCCCATAGCTGTCTTCGTAACCGAACAGTCCGGCGCATGTGTGGATTATATCAACATAATGTGCATCGCTTTTGTCTAAACGAAATTCTATTGGCAATAGAGGTAATTCAAACAGTGGTCTTGCTGGATCTAGACCTGAAATCATTTTGTAAATGAAGTAAAAGTATAATTTTGACGAATAACACTAATTTTAGACATAATCGTTTCCTCGATGCTTGAGACAATATGCCTGTATAAAACATTATTCATTTTAACATACCTGTAATTCTGTGCACATCACCGTCCAAAAATCTACCAGCATACCCCATGGCTTGAGCACCTAAACTATGTCCGATTAAATACATGCGGTCACGTCCTACGCCGTAAGTTTTTGTGCAAGAGTCAAGCAATTTGGCAATTTGTTTGCCCACGAACTTTGCACTCAAAGCCGACCACGGGTACAAAGGATTTTTAGCCAGGTGTGACCAGTCAACGGTCATCACATTTAAATCGTAATGCCGTAAAAGAGAATCTTTAATGCTTTGTACCCAGCCGACCTGGTAGTCGGACATCCAACCGTGTGTTATGACTCTGATGTCATTGGAGCCATTGAAGTATACACTCTTCAAGCAATTGTCATCTTTTGGAATAAATAGCACTTCTGGATCATCCCTATTGTTCCTATTTGAGATGGAAGATAATTAGGTTAAACTCAACACTGAAGATAAGATACCCAATAATAAGGTTACCTTGTGTATAAATAAAAGTCAGGTTTTCCAAACCGCATCCCACGCGAGGGTAGATCAGAAAAGTTCAAAACATGTCGATTGAACGCTTCATCGACGAGCATTAGCCAACTGGACCCGTAGTCGTCTTTCGTGTCATCTTCACACTCTATTGTACCTAAACAAGCTATTAAAAATAATTAGGATTTTAACAGTAACCATCAGTCAACACTTTATTCCTAATAGCCTTCTCCGTCTTCGGTTTCCTTACCCTAAAATTTTACAATAATTTCTGTCTAGCCTAAGAAATGGAATCTCATATTTTCTCTTGTCCATTCTTCTTTTATTTTCCAATGAACAATCACTATTACAAGATGTACCCAGATTAAATCTATCAAGCAATGGCTATTTTTTTTATAAATTTTGAAATCGGAAAATGAATTTCTAAGCGGGGAAAATATACTAATTAAAAAAATAATTACCGCACAGAAAAACAACGTAAGTGAGGCGCCGCCAAGCGAGCATCGTCAGCGTATGCACACATATCTGCTATGACCTGACTTATGACTATCCTGAGTAAATTAAAATTATGCAAATATCTTATAGTACTTTTATACTTTTAAGGTAAACGACGATTATCTAAGTGACTTCCGTTAACCTAAAGTCGTCCTTCTTTATGGCCTAGTTAGCGACGTTCAAGATAAATGTACGAGTAATATTTCATGGCGACACTTGTGTGTAGTTTAAACATTGCTTATAATTTATTTACAGATATAACTGATTTATCCACGCAGTCACCAACCAATGTCACTTTAATTTACTTCATAGAAAATCCTTGATCTAATCTTCACTTCATAGTCACAGTATTTGTAAGTTAGGTAAAAATAATTGAACTACCTTCATTTTTAAAAACGATAATTTTTAATATAGTATGAGATGTTGAAGTATTCGAATTACAAAATATGTGACCGTAAACATTTTTTCCTTATTAATTTCAGATTTTTTTTGGCTTTCGAGGTCCAAACACTAGGATATTGGTAAAGGAAGGATTGGTTTTGGGGTTGGTTTGATAAAATAATACAAAGTTTAAATCATAGCAACGTTATTGTATTTTCTTTTCTGAATTGAATCCTTTATGTGCTTACACAGTAAACACTGATTTCAACACTTACAACTAAAAATATTCTATAAAACAAAAGTAAATGTATACATAATTGAGTTTTATAGAAGTCTGGCTTGTGCAATTCATTATTTACTCTTCATTAAGGCAAACTTAGGTATCGAGATACGAGTGAGTAAAGTGTAAAGTGCTCGGTAGGATGCATTGTACGCTCGAATGTGTGTTGTGCTCAGTTACTGTGCAGGACAAAGATTCGGCGCTCCCGCGGCCCACACGCGGCCCACACTCGGCCCACACGCGGCGTACCCGCGGCCGCGGCGCAACGCCGTCGTGCACCAAACACTCTTTACTTACTTCCATTATACAAACTGATATATATTTAGTTACATTATTCTAATAATATTGCTATCTTTTTCATTTTAGTCTATAGAAATGACAAAAAATTTTGCAAAGTGCTTTTTCATATTTAAAATTAATTTACAGGAAGTCTCAGTTTAGTTCTAAATTGAACTTTTAACTCAAGTAACGTATTGTAAGACCGTTAATTCAAATTTTTCAATGGTAGATATTAGGTGTTGGAAGATAATAAAAGGATTAGCTATCACATGACTTTTAAATGTTTGAGCCATATTTGTACCTTTATCACATTATAATTACAGAATCCCACATTACAAATACAAATGTCAGAGAAATAATCATACTTTTACATTTTCTATTATTTCGTTTGTCGGTACACGTGATATGACTCTGGGTTATGTTATTTAAGACACGGCATTTTGTGGTAGAAAAACCTTTGCACACAGCAACTGGCTTCTTTTAACTTATTCAATTGAACACACTTTTTATCAATTTCATTCTTATTGGCAATACAATTCTTTTCAGTTCAAAAAGAACTTTTCCTTAGACACTTTTATACGTGTCATTACAATATTAGTCTATTACAAATAACTTAGTCAAACTTTGCCTTTTAATAACTTTTTTCTTAAAGTCTAAGACTGAACTATGGTGTTCGAATATAAATTTCGCGGCATTGGCTGTGTGCAAAGGTGTTTTT